ATGAGTAGAGAAGCATTTTGATGTACATATTTCAGCATTTTAAATAATAATAATAATATTTAGAGCGTGAACCGCCCTTAACCGCTGTGAACCGGACGGTTTACCAAACGGTTTCGTTCGAAAACCTGTTGAAATGATTTCTTATGAGTACAGAAGCGTTTTGATATACATATTTCAGCATTTCGTTAATATTTAGAGCATAGACCGCCCTGAACCGCTTCGAACCGGGCGGTTAACCAAGCGGTTCGGTTTGAAAACCCGTTGAAATGATTATTTATGAGTAGAGAAGCATTTTGATGTACATATTTCAACATTTTGTAGATATAAAGAGCGTGAACCGCCTTTAACTGCTGTGAACCGCGCGGTCAACCAAGCGGTTTGGTTCGAAAATATGTTTGAACAATTATTTATGGAAAAATATGCATTTTGATATACATATTGCCGGATCTCGGCCCTTCTAAAGGCTTGCACCGCGACAAACCGCCAGAGTGACCAGCTGGTTCATAAAATAGCTCCTCGATTAATTCAGTGATTCATAAGCTTCAAGAAAAGCTATAGATCGTAATCATAGCACGCCTAGTTCAAAAGTAGAAATTCTGGAATTTTCGTATCTGGTAGTTTCAGTCAACTTTGAGGCGCCAGAAAATCTCAGAGAATCCCCGGATCATAAATTTTTTTCAGTTGTGAAAAGAATTGACACTCAACTATCATATAATGAAGTTTGAGCAAAATCGATATGTAGGAATGCTACTAAAAGTCGACTTGACTGACATAAGTGCATTTTTTCTCATCAAAAATCGACGAAAAAAAGGGCGAAGACAAAATTATTACGGCAAATTTTTAGTGATATTTTTCATTGCTTATTATTGTCTATAGGATCTAAGAATTTGGTGAAAAATGACTCAAGGATGTAGATTTTGATTTAAGCCGCGTAGAGCCTGGTGATGGTCTTTAGAAACCACGTTTTTAGCCCCCCATTTGGAAAAGCTTTAGCTGATTTTCAAATAACAATAAAAAAGTTTCCCACATCGGAGAGAAAAACTAAGCATACCATGAGAATAAGCTCGTCGAGCTCTTTCTAACGAGGTATAAATCGTCGATAAAACAATTGGTCAAATTTTTTTTTGCCGACCCTACCTTACACCCTTAGCAGCTCACTCGACGAAGAAGCATCAAAGTTCACAGACATTTCAGAAACAGTTTTTATGTTCCATACTAAAGATAGTTCACAAAAGTCAATTTTTACGTTTGAACATCGCAATTTCACGTCTGCTGAACTATCCGCGCTTCAAAACGATTGCAACATATGCAAAAATCTTGTCGAAAAGACAAAATTGCATAAAGTATCCAAATTCCACATGGTGGATAACGTTCTTTATGATGGTTCAAGACTTGTCCTGCCATCAAAACTTGCTGACGAATTTATCAATTACCTCCATATTATCACTGGTCATGCAGGATCAAAACAACTCCTGCGAATGCTTAGAGAGTTTTATATTCCTAAAGTGCAAGATCGTGTAAAATCTATCACCCAAGCTTGCACAACATGCATTCGCATAAAACCATGCAAAAAGCTCAAACCATCGCTTATAGCGACTCGTTATTTTGAATCTTTTCCATTCGAAAAATCTTTCATCGACCTTGTCGACTATGGACGACTGGACGCAAATGGCAAACGATATCTCTTAACGTTTTGCGATAGCTTGACAGGTTACCTCGATGGTGAGCCATTGTCAGCAAAATCAGACAAACTTGTGCCAAAAAGCCTTCTCACTATCATCTTACGTCATGGTATATCTGGAGTAGTCGTTTCTGACAACAGAAAAGAGTTTGGACCTCTTTGCAAAGAGATTTTCGAAAAATTCGAAATCCGACATGTAACAACAACTGCCTATAGAAACTGTTCTAATGGTAAAGTAGAACGACTTCATAGAGAAATTCATGTCCAACTCAAAACGTTAAATGCAAATGACCGAAATTGGTCGAGAAAATGGCCGGAAGCATGCTATTACATCAACAATCTTCCAAAGGCTACACTCGACGGATTATCAGCAAATGAAGCATTATTCGGAAGGCAATTTCACATCCCCTTTGCTAAGGCGGATATTAACGACCGACCTAAAGAGCCTTTCATCAACGGCCTTAACCAATATCTACAAGAACTACACCCTAAATTGCTAGCGTTCCAACAATCAGGATATCAAACGCTTTTGGAAAAGGACAAAAATAATTGTCCAATATTCGAGTTAGGCACAAGAGTTCTTGTTTGGAAACCAGATATCTTATCTGGAAAATTAGGTTGCAACTGATCAGGACCTTTCGTAGTGCATAAAAGAATATCAAAAGATTCTTATATTGTGAAGTGTGAAACAACACTCCGAGAATATCGTCGTCATGTCAGCCTCATACGACCATTGAGACTGAGAAGTCGAGAAGTTCTCAAAGAACAAGAAGAAAACTCCCAGTCAGGAAATAAAGATGAAGTTTCAAAGCCGGCTCAAAAACCGATGCGTGACTTCATAGAGAATAAGATTGATACTACTGATCCTCAAGGGGGCTGGAAAAATCGACTTCGACCACGACGCTTATAACAAAACAAACTAGTGCCATCGTACTAGTTTATTCTTCTCGACAAATATATTCAATTTTCAGAGATGCCATCGCATCCCAACTAAGTCCTTTTAACTAGGTGCCATCGTACCTCGACATTTACTTTGGGGGAAGGGGGCCATCATCCCACCCTCATTATCTTGGACAAATTTCTCGGAAAAGATAGGACATAAGATCCACGGAAATGATAGGACATCAGTAGAAAATACTGATAGGACATCGGATCAGTTAATATAGGACATCTTTATCCGAACTTTTATTTCCTTTGACGAATTTTCAGATAGGATAGGACACACGATCCATAGAAAAGATAGGACATCAGTAGAAAATACTGATAGGACATCGGATCAGTTAATATAGGACATCTTTATCTGAACTTTTATTTTCTTTGACTTATTTTAACAAGGATGGACATACGATCCATATAAATGATAGGACATCAGTAGAAAATACTGATAGGACATCGGATCAGTTAATATAGGACATCCTATACTCATCTATGGAGTGGGCTTCCATAAACCCTTGCTTCAAGCGGCAGCTCCCCGACAAAGCGAGATGTTGGAGTTCAAAGTCCTGCTAAGACCCGGGTATTCCGGTCCCTTTGGCTGGAAATTGAGCAACTCGATTGGCCATCGTCAATCACCCCGCAGGCCTTTTAATAAGTTATTGAGTTATAACAATTTTGACGCTTAAGTCAATTGCGCATACGACTTTTGCGAAAAAATAACCTTAACGATGTAACGACTTAAATGTGAGCAGACCCTCCCATCATGGAATGGGCAAATTGTCAAGATTTGTTAACACGGATAGCATGGCTCCCTCCGTAGTCTGTTCAGAGTCATCCAACATAGACCCAACAACGGCCCTGCTTGTTAACATCGTAGCAACATAGCAATAAGTCAAAGAAGGTTTGTCGCTTCATTGTACTCAGTTTACTTTGATTTGACAAGCCACTTTTAAGACCATAGAAATTATTACCCATCGGTGATTACCTCCTTACACTGAAGAGATACTTTTTCAAATGGATCTTGGTCAAACTTCTTAGAGACCATTTCTCTTTGGTTTCTTACGAACATAGTTCGACATTTAATCTAAAGAAAACTTCCTTTTTTAAAAGGGGGAAGAATATGTAGTGGTTTTCCTACTGTATGCTCCCAAATACGCTATTTACAATCTCAGGAGCCTATTTTTCGCATTACATAATCATCCTAGCACCTCAGGGAACCAATACAGATCACTTCCGGTGACTTCCGATAACTTCCGGTCACTTCCGGTAATGTTCCGATTACTTCCGGTTCACTTCCGGTCACTTCCGGTTCACTTCCGGTTCACCTCCAGATCACTTCTATAAGGTCTGATCAACCGCAAGACCTCTCAAGAGCGTTACGGAGTAAGTGCTCACTTAATACAGCGCCACCTAGCGAGGGCTCTCGCGCCCCATCTAGTGTTGGCTCTCGCGCCCCACCTGGTGTCAGCTCTCTAGTGCCACCTAGTGGACACTCAGGTATAGCTCTCTACTGCCCTCTAGTGGCCACACAACAGCGCCATCTATGGTGAGCACTAAACCTTGCATTCCAACGCATTGAGTCATAAATGGTTACCTTGATGTGTGGGAGACAACTTTACGGGTGACTCTCGTGCGGGAGACAACCCTGGATATGAGTCATCATTACATCACCTGGCATAAGCCGCTAGAACATTCCATCCAGCATGAGTCACATTGACTCACCAATTACAGCACCTTGGAGAATATACACGATTGTTCTTCTACTGTCTAAGAAGCTACTTGAATATTCTATTACTGTTCTAAGAAGCTTCTCGAACATTCTTATTTTCCCTTTTCACTGTATATAAAGGCGACTTCTGCCACAATAAAATCATTCTAACCAGAACCAACAAAACAACAAAAACTTCTCTTTTTATCCAGCAACAACAACCAGCAACAACCAGCAACTAGCAGCAACCAACCAGCAACTAGCAGCAACCAACCAGCATTTACCAGCAACCAACCGGGAACTTGCAGTAGCAAAACCTCTACATTGTGATGCAGAATCCACAACTCCGATGTTCTCCAATTGCTCGCCATCGAACCCACAGCCGCCAAGATGATTGTATTGTCGGACAATATCTTGTTTTACACACCCGTGGGAGGAATCGATTTCGCCTATTAGATTTTAAGAGTCTATTAATACATTTTTCAACCTTTTCCGTGCCCAGATACTGTCTTGAACCATACAACGGAATCAAAATCATAGGCAGGGAGGCTATTCATGAATCGTGGCAGGCAGTAGAACATTTCTTTTGACCAGAATTGAGATTATAGAAATTAATGAAGAAGCGTAATTACGTTTGATTAAACCGGATCCGTCTGATTGTATCCACAGACATTTTTAGGGGCCGACAGCAGCGACGGCATTTTCAAGTGCGACTTTTATTCCAGCAAGGCTGAACTGGATATCTTTGGCCACGCGTATTTCGCTGAGAAGATGGTTGTAGACCTTCTTGGGATTGTTGTTGACATCGACGCCGTAGCTGATAACCGACAACAAGGGACATGCATCTTTCTTGAAATGCATATTGGACGTTTCAACCATCTCTCGACAGGAGACTCCCATGGCTAAGGAAACATCAGATAAATTCTTAAGCGTTGTCAGAACTAATTCAAAAGATCTTGAGGTCCTAGAATATCTTACAGGAAGATTCTGAAGGGTAGTCAGAACTATTCCAGAAGATCTAGAGGCTCTAGAATATCTTACAGGAAGATTCTGAAGGGTGGTCAGAACTATTCTAGAAGATCTTGAGGCTCTAGAATATCTTATAGGAAGATTCTGAAGGGTAGTCAGAACTATTCTAGAAGATCTTGACGCTCTAGAATACCTTAAAGGAAGATTCTGAAGGGTAGTCAGAACTATTCTAGAAGATCTTGACGCTCTAGAATATCTTATAGGAAGATTCTGAAGGGTAGTCAGAACTATTCTAGAAGATCTAGAGGCACTAGAATATCTTACAGGAAGATTCTGAAGGGTAGTCAGAACTATTCTAGAAGATCTTGACGCTCTAGAATATCTTATAGGAAGATTCTGAAGGGTAGTCATAACTATTCTAGAAGATCTTGAGGCTCTTGAATATCTTATAGGAAGATTCTTAATGGTAGTCAGAACTATTCTAGAAGATCTTTATGTCTTATAGGAAGATTCTAGAGCCTCAAGATCTTCAAGAATAGTTCTGACTACCCTACAGAACTTCCTGTAAGATATTCTAGAGCCTCAAGATCTTCTAGAATAGTTATGACTACCCTTCAGAATCTTCCTATAAGATATTCTAGAGCCTCAAGATCTTCTAGAATAGTTCTGACTACCCTTCAGAATCTTCCTATAAGGTAGAACAACTGCATTTGAGGAGATACTTAAAATAAAACGAAAACCCCAGGAAACATTCATACAATTATACATACGATTACATGTGAAATATGCCGTTACAAGAATGGAAAAGACCCAAAATCACTGGCAACTTTGATATACTCTGTTGTAATATGCTTCCTCATTTATGACTACTATATACTAAGCTAACTTCCTGCTAAGTAAGCATACTACTATTGTATTGACGGTAATTCGGTGTTTATTTGTGATTCTGGGGCAAGGCCAGAATGAGGGAAAATGGGCATGGTCAGGCATTTTTATAGGAGCGCTCGCTCACAAGTCTCACTTCAAGTTCGACTTTATTTCTGAGCTGCAGTTCCGAGTTGAGTGATGAGCTCGCGCTTCGCAGTTGGTGCTCGCGCTCACCCCTCAGCTTCGGATTCTGTGAGCTTGGCTCGAGACTCGACTTTCGTTTTTGTAATCATAAGTTATGGACCATAACACTTTTCCCCCCTTGCTGGCAAAATAAAATTGAGTTCAGGTTACAGCTACAGTAAAGTTTAACGATGAGCTTCAGTAAAGATTAACGTTGAGCTACAGTAAGGTTTAACGTTGAGCTACAGAGAAGATTTACGTTGAGCTACAGTAAGGTTTAACGTTGAGCTACAGTAAAATTAGACGTTGAGCTACAGTGAAGTTTTTCGTTGAGCTACAGAGAAGAGATAAAGTTCTTAGTCGAAAAATTTGAAGGGCTGTTGCTGCTGTGTGAGGTCTTCTTCCCACCTATTCTTCCCCTCCTTCAGCCAGTGTCGTTGAGCTACGTTTGTGTCAGGATGTAAAAACACTAGTTTCTTACTTGAAGTTGTTATGCTGCAAAGCCATCGTAAGAAATGCCATCCTTGAGCATCGGCAAAGTATGCATTTTCGTGTAAGGCGAGCGAATTGTACGGCGCACTCAGGATGAAAGGAGAGAAGACAGCGCAGTGTTACTGTGGGGTTACCCTTTCGACAAATCGGGCATAAACGGCCGTTTGTATGATTCTCCATGTGTGCGGTAAAGAGACGAAGTCTCATCGAGTCCCAGCAAGCAGGACAATGATCATATTTTTGGCATCGCTCAAAGAAGCAGTTTATGTGTAGAAAGTGCCCACATTTTGCTTTGATACCCATCTTCATACTTAATTCACTGTCTCGCGTTGAACAAATAACGCAGACTTCGTCAGGGTTTGGCGTTACTACTCGGCATCCTTCGACGAAAACGAACATGTTAGTTGTTGTAACGAGCCAATTGATGGGTGTTTCTTCGGCTTTTCTATTGACAGAGCTCGTTCTACCGGCTCTTTCAAGGCGACCACTCGAAAAATCGTTTCTGTGACTCATGATCTGAATCAGAGTTCGAATTGTTTCTGTCAGCTAACAATAATGAATGTCTTGAACAGCTAAAAATTTCATCGTTTTAGCTATGTTTCTTCAAAAGAAGAGCTTTTAGCAAGAACTGTATTAAAAAGAACTGTAACAGTAAAAATGAAGTTCACTTTCCGTAAAGAACTTGCGTTTTTCGGAATCCGTTTTTAGATGCTGGAATTGATGTTGAAACGGTATTTGAGAATATCCCTTTTTTTAAAAGCTCATCGATCATGATATCGCTTTTTTGAGCCCATTGAATTGTATTAACAGTTAATCAGTGTTAAACTACAGAATGATAAGTGGAATCCTTAATGGCTCAGTTTTTCTGTAATCGGACTCATGTTTTTTATGAATCAGTCTTTCATGAGAGTCCATGATTCTTTTGTCCATACTTGCTGATTTCCATGAGATTTTTGATAAAGACAGACGTCAGCTTAATATTTTCTACTTTGAATCGTTTCAATTGGAGAAATGGAGGTTTTGGCTCTCCAATGGGGATAGTTTTTTTCAAAGAGGAAGAAAAAGGGAATGACTAAAAGAACTATTTAAATGAATATTTATCTTATGGGTACGGCTATCGATTTTGAAAGGGGCTTATTCTGATTGTTGAAAATACTTTGTTATTTCCTAAATTCGAGGGGCTTTCTTGAGTTTTTGGGTGACGTAGTCTCGTACGGACCAAAATTTTGGAGAAATCTGTATAAAGGCTATTTTTTTATTAAATCAAATGATCTGTGGGAGTCGTTTGAATCAAAAGCGGGTCGGGGATCCTTAACGCAAAAATTTTAATTATTGAACATGACTTTCATCAATATTCGAGCGTTACGGTGGTGTTCTTCACTACTGTTCGCTCCAAATTATTTAATTGGCCGTAATATTTTGAACTTCTCCTTTTCCGCCTTGACCTCTTTATTTTTATGGTTTCTGCTTGAGCGCTTCAACCGAGTTTCTGAATTTCAGAATTTCTCATTTTGAAAAATCGGTCAAAAAGAAAGGCCGGGAAAATGATTTTTTCAAAACAAGAGGTTTAAAGAAGAAAAGCAAAGAAAGAATAAGATGGAAAACGAATTTTTGAAAACATTAAAAGTAAGTCGGGAGCAATTCTATTTAAGCGCATTTTTGGACTTAGTAAAACTTAAGGGTTTACATTCCATTTAGATTTTCCGGATTTGGCATTTTCCGAAAAATTTAATTTTCACGAATTAAAGATTACAAATGATCTAACTCTAACCTTTAGTTTTATTCAAACTAAAAGGGACGACTCTAAAATGGCCAACTTTACTCCATAATTTTGAGGTTCAAAATTTTTGAGGTTCCAAAGGGTTTTGCGCTCATAGTAAAAGTAAGCCTCTATCTTTAAGGATACCCCCAACAATTTTCCATTGAACTACGAATCTCAATTCGAATCCTCATTTCAAAGATTCGGTTCTAGAATATCAGCAGGGGATAAGCACTCAAAAGCATGGTTGCATCAAAATTCTCCGGGTCATGTGAGCTTCACGAGTATCATTTTAAATAAATAGAATCGCTTGATAATCCCTAAAACCTGGAATGAGCAGAAATACTTGGCACTAGTTAAGATTTATGTTACCATTAATGCGAACTTTTTCTTGGCTTGATTTGGGTGGGTCAAAAGTTATTTACCATTGCTAATTTGGACAATTATAAGGCACGATCTATTAGCTTTTAGTCTCGAGAGAACTGTAAGAGGACATAAGCGCTGGTTAAAAGCTGCGCTTTTCAAAAATAACATATTCCGGTCGTGTTCAGATTCCGGTCCCCGGAAAACGACCAAAAGAAAAATAGCTTCTTAACCAAGTCAAGTCTTTCATGTGACTTGAAGTCGAAAATATTTCCTTGAGATCATTTACTTTTAACTGTCAGTTTTTCACCCAGAATACTTTGATTCTTCAAAATATTTGTTTTTATCAAGCGCCGACTTTGATTTTCGTTCTATCAAATTTCAATTAAAAATAGTTAAGTTTCCGTTTGAACTTATAATTTGAGCTGATTTGCTCACGCTTTGTGGTTTATTAACTTACTGATTTCTAACGCGAAAAGAAATCGGTGGGGTTATTCCTTCCCACAGACGTTCAGAGATTTTTCAAAGTGAATCTCCATGGGCCCACTTTCGTGTAGTGAAATGGCCAAACGTCATTTACGGGGTGCCTCAGGCTCCCTGGCAGTATACGGAGACCAACTGCCCTCCGTATGGAATCCCTATTATGTTAAATGCCTTTACTAAGCGTGAGACCACATGCATGATCCATGCGTATGGCTAAGTTATCTTTTTCTTTGCCAATCCCTCTGCAAGGTGATTAGTACATCTGTCACCGGTCTACAGTTTACCAGCGAAAACATAAAAATAAGGCTAATGCCGAGAATATTTTTCCATCGCAAAACTTTCAGAGGTTAGTTCAGCTTAGATTTTGAGTTTTTCATGATTCTTGATCATTATTCGTTTTTATCCCAAATTTAATTGCATCAGTTTGCGCTTGATAAAATCTTTCCATAATGTCACGATAATTTCTATACTACTGTCTTTGTTGTTTGTAAGTAACCCTTTACATACCTTTTATGTTGTTTTCGTTCGAGTTTTTGAAGGAGTCGTTTTCGCGTTGGGGCCTTCCTTCATTTTTTCCATCTTTTTTCGTCGTTGTTATGTCGTTATGATGAGATCGTTTCGTAGCACGTCGCAAGCTCAACTGTGTTGCGATTTCTCAGGCAGTTTGCGCTCAAAACGTTTCATCTTAGATCAATGTCGAATCTTTTCTGCTTGCTCATTCCTTTTTTCTTTCTGCCATTGAAATTACTTCAAGCTTTTTCTTTGGAAAATCCCGTCTCCGAGCTG